ATTATCTGAAAAATATAGACATTTTTATAGAAAGAGAAACATTATCTGAAAAATTAAATATATAAATGTTTTGATTAAAGATGTTTTTTTACATAAGTCGCTATTTTTATTACCATTAATATCTTGTGAATTATTTAATTTAGAATTTTCATTGTCCTTATTCGTGTGTCTTGAAACTAAAAATAAAAAAAATTTATTTTAAACAGGTAAACTTTTTTTAGTATTCAACTGTGAAAGATATATAAAATTTTAAGTGCAATAGTTAAATGTATGGGACAATAATATAATAGTATGGTGCCCAATTCGACCAATATGAAAAGCCCTAAATTCAACTCTTATCTGAAATAAAACATTTTCCGCAATACATATAATTTACGCTAATTATAAAAGTATATAAAAAATTTTTACCGTATATCGCTTAAATGTAAAAAACATTATTATTTTATGTACATTTAATTATTTGCACGTAAAAATATAGCAGCGATTTTTATTAACCTTACAAATTTTGTTGTTTTAAATTTTGTTTTATATCCTATTTTATTTTATTTTATTTCTAATTATATATTTTCTCCTATGAAATTTTTTTAGAAAATAAATCTAGATTAATATTATTAAATGCATTTACATTTATTATTAATAAATTATTGTATATAATAAATATTTAAAAAATTTTTATGTATTGTCTTTTTTCAAATAAAGTCAAATTCAACAGAAGTTTTTTTAGAAGGTAAAACTTAATTCAAAATTTAATTTAATTTAAAATATATACACAATTAAGGGTTATAAACACTCTTGAAAAAATAATCTATTTATCAACATAATTTGGATCAAAGAATATAGAAGCATATAATTTTAAAATTCGTGAAATATTAAGATTAAATTTGTACAAACAGTAAAACAAGTAATGCATATTTCTGAAAATTGAAATATGTTTGCACAAAAAAGACTTAAAAATTAACCTGCAATACCTGATTTATGTGATTCCTTGGATAATAACAATCTCGGAGGATTAGGAAAACTGACATAGTCGTCATATTTATTATTTTTTACTTTTCTTTTCCCCATTCTTGATTCAGCCTCCTCAGATTCCGATGTAGCTACAATCTGTTTTTCTGCCTCTAAGGCTGATTCATAAGTATCTAATAACAAAAAAAAAATATAAATTACGAAAATCATAAAATAATGTGCATATTTGGTATTAAATAATGATGCTATATACATATAAATGATTTCCATTATATACATATAGAGGTAATTATAAATTCATATGAATACTATATGAAGTGTCATAAAAGTCACAAACAAATTTTTTACAAGACAACTGGCAACTTTTATTAAAAAGAAAAAACTATACGTTTTGACCAACAATCGCGTGGTCCTCCTCAGGAGCACATTAATTATATACAGTTATGTATAAATTGTCAAAGCACATTTGAAAATATATGCGCTAAAAAGACGTGTTGGAAAGCACAGTCTAAATCACAGGCTAGTTAATAATAAAAATTTTTATTAATCGGCTTGTGATTTAGACGTACTTTCTAACATATCTTTTTAGCGCATATATTTTTAAATGAGCTTTGACAATTTATACATAACTATTTATATAATAATTAATGTATTCCTGAGTATCACGATTGTTGGTTGAAACGTATAGTTTTTCCTTTTTAATAAAAATTGCCAGTTATGTCGTCTTGTAAAAAATTTGTTTTGTTCATTATTTACTGGCGACATATAATATTTTTATTTTTTATATATATCTTAGATTATAAAATATATTATAATACAAGTATATAAACATTTCTTTTCATTAACATCACAATTAATAAAATAATATTAGTGCCATAAACATATACATACAATAATACTTTCCTGACTTTGTCAAGCATAATAATCTAATTTTACTTACCATGTTTACTAAAGATCTGGCATTTATATTTCATAAAATTGTCTTTAACGGGCATTTCTTTCACAATTGCGGTTCTAACGTTTTTGATTCCTGTAGGCCAATAACAATGATGTGGTTCATCCAACCAAATTACGGGAATCACCGAAAAATCTAAATTGTCAAATTGTACAACTGCATACTAAAAAAAAGATAACATTAGATTACCGAAATATATATTTGTTTTTTACTTATTTAATATGTATAATTATCTTTTAATAAAAGAAAGTAATTAAACTGTCAATAAATACATGTAATCATTAAATTTGTTGCGTATTTTGCGTAAATCTTAGGCAGTTCCACAAACGATGCACTACTCTCACGATGCACGACCTCTGATTTCTTATATTGTGCGGTGAATTCTTGAGAGACACAGAGTGATTCGTCGCGTATACTTCTTAGGTTATCAATAGCAACATTTTATATTACAAATAATCGAATTCTCACGGTAATAATCCAAAGATTAAATTCATCATTTTGACTGCTACTGAGTAATGTGATATATAAATCATAGTCAATTAAAAAAAAAGGATAAGAACAATCAACAAATACTAAATTTATACTAAATAATAGTTGTATTATATTGCAACAAGTAATTAATTTCAATTTACAAATCAGTCCGTGTGTAATATCGATATGAAACAATCATTTATTTTGAAAGCTTTCCTTAATATATTGTCAGCAGATATGATATGTTCTTCATCAGTCATTTCAACAGAACCA